TACTAGTAGCTTCTTGTTACTACTAGTAAGGCACCTGTTACTACTAGAAGATGTGATGCTCTCTCTCTCTCTCTCTCTCCAGATCTTTCTTGTTGCCGGATCGGCAGGCTTATGCCCCAACGATTGGCTTCTGCAATCGGAGTGTTTCAGTACCAACGAGTTCACCCGTTCCCGCGCCTGGCCCCGGTCCAGCGCCTCCTCTGTCTTGTCAATCAATGTGGTGACCTGTTGGCCCAGCTATGAGTCCTCTTGCTTCAGGTCTGTTGGAAAAGCATTAAAGCAGACCAAATCGTTGCTTCTGCCAGGCAAATCACGTGCCCGTTCTTCCTTGCCGCACATGCGACCTTCAGAACCACATTGCCCCCCTGGCCAGCGCACTTTTTTGTCAGCTGTTGCCTCCCTAGATCTGTCAGCCACCGTGCGGCAAATCTTTATACCAACAAATTTTGGTACCGAAAGCGTCCATCTGCTGTGCTGGCCCCAATCAATACCGGAATGCAAAATCAAATTTGCAAGCAATGCACTCAATACCTGTGCGTTCAATACAAGAATATGGGGTCGTTCCAGGCACCTTCGGTATATCAAACACTCTAACACAAGGCAGTCAAACTGCTGAGAACTCCTACATCCACATTCACATAAGTCATGCTATGAGTGCGTCACCGTTCAGCCATCTCATCCTTTGGGTCGAGAGCGTCCTCTAGCCACGGCGAACCCCTGTCCTTGTCAAAGTCCGGCGCTGGAAGTGCCAGCGCTGGAGTTGGTGGTCCGAGCGCCAGTGATCCCGTCTGAGTCTGGGTCCCCTCTTGCAAGGGCAAATGCCACCTTCGGTACTAGGAGCAAGAACGCTACTAGGGGCTCCTGGCATCGCTACTAGGAACAAAGACGCTACTAGGAGCAAAGGGCATCGCTACTAGGAGCAAGGAAGGTCACCAATCCACCCCACCTCTTAAAACAACACTATATAAACGAATCCAGACACACAAATGTATGTTTGCATATCATATCATATCATATCGTATGAATCAATTCGACCAAGTGCCTTGTAGAAAGAGAAACCTAAATTTCAATCTTGTGATTTAGGAATATTTAGGAATGCCCACCTTGATGAACCCGATTCTGGGTGCCTCACGCAACTCACACAACACAAAAAATTCATAGCAGCCCGGCCACACAGTGTTCTGACTGACGGAATTCCAAAAGAATTCGAGGCCAGTCTGCTCTCGCAACCGCTCCCACCAGCCCAAGAGTTGAGGAGGAGTGTCCCAAGAGGATCTGCGGGTTCGATGCTCGTAGAAATACACTGCATTTCGCTGGGTGTCAATGACCTGATCAGTCACCGCTCAAACCCTGACGGGCAACTGTCAAACATTCCAAAGGATCTAGGCTTATGGAAAGCTCTCCGAAATTCGCACTCAAAATCACTTCAAGCATTTTGTCAATCCAAGGCACACGTTCCCAGACCTCTGGCGGGCCGGCAGGAGGCTCGGGTGCCTTCCGCTTGCGGCTTTGCCAAGCGTCCAAACCTGCAGGCACCTTCAGGCGCATAGGCGGCCCAGCAGGTACCGCAGGCGGCTCATTGGGGGTCCTGGATCCAATCCTGCGTCAAATTCTGATGATACACCAGGTCCGGTTCAGTCCCAAAGCATCCGAGTAAGTATGAACAAGCAACCACACCACCTCTGACACTGATGTTTTTGTTGTGCTTCTCCTCGTTTAGGTCTTAAAAAGAGAAGCCATAGAGCAAATCCAGGTAGCTCTTGCAGAAATCCCGTTGCATTTGGTTCATGGAACTTGTTACGCCTGTGTCTGTGCGTGCGCACCTTTTTCATTACTTAAAGTCACACCACAGAGCGATTCAATTCTTTCACCTCAAAAACAGGTTGCCTTTGAATATTGCTAGGAAGTGGTTGGGCCCCGCTGCACTACTTAGGTTTTCAGTCGGTACGTACTCTACCTCAAGTGTGTGAGAGAGTGTGTGTGTGTGAGAAACCCTTGGAGTCAGAGGGTTTCCGTTGCAGTATTGGCTTTTAGAAGGGGGCAGCAGGGAGTCCACAGTTCTGCTGCCAACGAAGACAGCTGTGGATACCCGTGAAGCAGATTGGGGTGCCAATCTGTGCACCTGCTTTCTCAAGTGTGATGTTCTGTAACTACCTCCTCCTCTAATTCGACAGGCTGTTTAGGTGAATCTGAGGTCTGCAGACTTGCACGGGACGTGGATCGCTCGGGTCGCTCGAGCCTTTTGAGAAGTTGGATCTGGTTGAACTCCGCTCCATTTTACCTGGACCCTTAGGCGTTTTACTTAGGTTGGTGAGTGGCAAACCGCAATCGAGTCAGTACGCAATATCTTGAGTGTGTGCGTTTCCTGACATGCACGGACGCATGAACATTGTCACCACTTAGGAATATATAAGTAAAAAGATCGCGGTGAAGTAAGTAAAAGCTGAGGCGGTTTGAATTCAAAGCTGAGGGTCAAATCCTTCACACTTCCGTGCAAGCGACGTGGAGGTTGCCTTGGTGGTCGTGGGGTCGGTGCTTTCTCGGCAACTGGAAGAGAGACTTCTCCAGATGTGGAGGAGAGGGCGTCATCCCGGGGCACGTCCGTCTCCTCATCCTTGATGGCAAATGATTCTGGAAGTGAAGAATACTGTGTCAATGGATGTCAACAGTTTCAAAACCAACACCAATCAAAATGGGAAAAGTTGCGCTCTCACTCCACTGTGCGTGTGTGCGTGCAAAGAATCCTCCTTGACGCAGGTGTCTTTCACCCTTGACACCAGCGGCTTTGGCACGGGCTTCCCTTTGGTCGCTGGCGGCGCCTGCCCTTTTGGCGGCAGAAACCTCACGGTGCTCTTTGGACCAAGCACATCTCCCTACGAACTGCACGGACAAAATATACTTGACATCTGGCGTGTTGACAGCCTCCTGGGAAAAGCGAGACACCACACAACAACAGGTCAGGTATGATGGGTCGGCAGGTATGCGGCTTCGAGGACAATTGGAGTCCAAGATGCATTTTCGAGAAGAGCGAGCCCAGCTCACTTTCAGAGTTGCGCACCATGGCTTCACCTTGAGGTCCTAAACCACGAACTTGGTAGACTTAATGACACCCCTCAAGGTCTTGCTACAAGTCCTCTTCTGTTCTACCTACCAGTAAGCCTGCACAAAGGCAAGCTTGACTGCTTCACATGCTTCTGCGATTGGATTAGCATGACTTCCTGCCACCTTTGTTCTTCTTCCGGTCGTGCGAACACATTGTGCAACAGGAACAAAACTACTAACTGCTTGAGCAAGAGGCCATGAAGCATGCTCAGCTGACATATGACATGTGCATGTCCAACACAGTCCGGGAACGAGAGCTTCCGTTTAAGAATGCGGACCAAACTTACCAAACATGACAAAACCCCTTGGTTAAACTCCCTCTCAGTGGCGTCCCACCAACACAATGATAGAATGAAGGACCAACAGAGAAGCCATCATCTCGAGCAAGATAGTGTGGGCCTTCCCCTCCCCTTTCTGCCAGAGAGCGCCGTTGATTCTGCTCCATTTGCTCTGACGGCCCAGCCCTGCCCTGGCGCCTTTCCCCGCTTCTCAATAAGAGACATCGTTCGTTTCAATGAGCCGACATCTTTGATGTTGTGATGATGCTTGTGCCGCAGCCCTGCCTGACACAATGGTCCAGGATGTGAAATAGTATATCAGAAAACAACTAGGAGACATCTCATCCAACTGGGTTCGTGGCAATCTTGTAGTCCACCTCCTGAATCTTGCCAGTCATCTCCACTATATCCTGAGGATAACTTGACACAGTTTTGGGGCCTTCTCGCGGTGACCTCACTATATGTCTTGACTGGCACCTGCACTTTGGGAATGGTAGCTTGTAAGGTTCCATGGGCTTCCTCTTGAAATCGGGGCCTCCATTGTTCAAACCTTCAGCCATCAGTAGCCTCATAAGTGTCCTGCTCCCATCTCATCCGGCCTTCTCAAAGGCAAAGAAACCACCATCTTCTTTCAGTTTCGCTGTGAGCTCTTCCTGGCAGTCGGCTTCAGCTGGCTTCAGCTCATCACTCCGCTCATGCGAGAGAGAGAGAGAGTGGTCAATCGACGGTGAGTCTTCCTGCCTCTTGGGCGATGTACTTCTTGCGAGCCTCCTCCCATGAAACGGATGTTTGGCCCATTTGTGCCGGGCAGTGGTTCAAACAAGGGTCCCAGTTTGCTTGAATTGGAACAAGCAAAACATTGGCAACTCGAGTGCCAACTGGCAGTAAGGTGGGCAAGAATGCCCCAGAAGGGAGGAACACCCGGTGTGGGTAGTTTTTTTACCATGCTTTAAGGTTGGATCGAAGCAATGCGAAACTAAAGGACGGCACGAGTCACATCATCTGAACACCTCTCCTCGAGCTCTGCCACTTTTTCGCCAAGGGCATCATTCTCCAGTCTCAGCGACTGGGCCTGGCAGCATGGTGGGTTAACTCATGGGCCCCATGGGCTCTTAAACGTTCAAGCTTCTTGCTACTAGTAGCAAGAATGCTCCTAGTAGCGATGCCAGGAGCCCCTAAGTAGCGTCCTTGCTCCTAGCAGTCAGGCCAGGAGCCCCTAGTAGTTTCTTGTTTACTAGTAGCTCTTAAACCTTCAAAATTCCCCAAACGGCAAATGGCTTGATAGCACGTCCCCCTTCCACTGCCTCTCGTCTGAGATTGGCATATGCTTGCGAGTCCTGCAAGAAACTGGTGATGCAGGTAATTCCTAGCAAAAAAGGGCATGACCTCGTGAGACTTCTCACGTTTCCAAGCTGAAATCACGTCGGTACCATGACACTGGCAACAGCATGCAACAGCTGTGTGGGAACATATTCTTCAGATTTCTTCAGCGCCTCCAACTTCAAACAATCCAACAACGCAACCCATACAAAGGAGAAGCCGGGCCTCGTCCAGCCTCTCTCCTTCAACCAGTGCCTGCTCTACCTCTGTGACCAAGTCTTGGACGCTCATCCTTGGTGATTTCAGCTCAATCACCCCCTGTGATTTCCCCTGGCCTTTGAAGGGGAACAAGGCAGTTGAAAGCTGAAGCCGCTTCTCTCCATTTCACTAGGCAACAATTTGTGCGGTGTCCATGCATATATATATATATATATCCATCCATCCATCCATCGATCTATCTATCTATCTGTCTCTGTCTCTGTCTCTGTCTCTGTCTCTGTCTCTGTCTCTGTCTCT